AAAAAAAAAGTATACCATGGCTGGCTGTTTTAGAAAAACAAGAGCTCTCTGGGGTTCATTTTTTCTTCAGGGTCCACACCTTTGGGCTTTCTGTGCTTGAGATGGCACATGGGAACTGATTATAATTCTTGTCCCTTGAGGTCCATCAGGCAAGTGCGCACAGAGACCATATCTGGTGTGCCTGCTCCTATCTTCCGTTTTTTCTTTCCAGATGACCACAATTAAAGCTGATGAATCTTATGTTATTTTTTTCTTTCAGTTACTGCAATACTGTAGTGGATTTTTATTTGAGAGAGAGAGAGAGAGAAAGAGACAGACCATGTGTGTGTGGGATGGAGGAAGGCTGGAGAGTCGGACAGGTATTGTGGCAGTCTTGCCATGTGATGATCCTCTTGCCCCAGCCTCCTAGCTAGCTACAATGACAGGCATGAACCACCACACCTGTCCTGTTTAGGTTGGGCTGGAACCAAATCCAGGCCTCCCATACAGCCCCAGGCACTGGGCAGCAGCACCCTCTTGCTTGCACCCCTGTACCTAAGCCTTTGCTGCATTTTTACACATATTTTGGCATTTGACTTTTCTCTTATTTTTTAATTTATTTTTATTACAGAGATTTTTGCTATGGGGCACATGTGCTTCCCAGGGAGAGAGAGAGAGAGACAGAATCTGAAAGTAAGAATCACCCCCAGGGAGGATGGGCATGCCACAATTCCTTCTCCTCCATTTTCTTCTCAGGATTTTGGGTATGCACACACACATGCCCAGCATGAGTTTTAATTCACTGGTCCCGGACTCAAACCTTAGTCAGCAATGTGGGAGTCCAATGACATAATGGTTATGCCACTTGCTGGTCCCCTCTTTTATTGTTTGATTTATTGATAGCATTAGAGTTGTAAATGTTTACAAAACAAAAAATATTAATATGTAAATTCCAAGCTATAGTTAATTTAGGTTCAGCTCTTCTGTGAAAATGGTGTAGTATTTAAAGAAAGATTACTCATATGCTCAGGGCAGACCTGTGAATAGGTGTCCTCTTTTTTGATAATTATGGAGTAAACCGTTAAGGCTGAAGTCTTTGAATTCTGCAAAATATTAAGGATTAGCAAGGAAGCAGTTGTACAACCTGGAAATTGAGACAGAGTCCCAGATCATAATTTATTCAAGAATCTTTACATAGGCATTATTTGAAAGAAATCACATTTCTTAAATTATTTTTAATTGACATATAACAGTAGTACATAGCATGACTTAAAATATTTTTAATTGACATATAACAGTAGTACATATTTATGGATTACAGTATGATTTTTCCAATGCATGGGTACAATGTGTAATGAGCAAATCAGGGCACTAAATATTAGGGTGTAAGAAAAGTCATGACATATTTTTCCATGCAAAAATGTATTATTACTTTTCCAACAATCCAATATATCTGCTCTCTCAAACATTATCATTACTCTGTGTTGTGAACAATTGACATTCTCTTTTTTAGCTATGTTGAAATGTACATTAATTTTTCACAACTGTAGTTGCTCTTCTATGCCATAGTACTCTAGAACTCATTCTACTGATCTACTTGTACTCTTGTTATCTGTTACCCAAGTTCTCCCCTTTCCTCTCTACCTACTTCCTTTTCCCAGTTTCTGGTATCCACCATTTCATTCTCACCTCCATGCAGCTGAGTCATTTAACTTCCACTAATGAGTAAGAACATATGGTATTTATTTTTTAGTGCCTGATTTATTTCATTTAGAATGATTTCTTCCAGATTCATCCATGTTATCTCAAATGATAGGGTCTCACCTTTTTTATGTTTAAATAATATTCCATTGTGGAGCGTTGGCAAGGCTGTGGATAAAGGGAAACTTCATGTGCTGTTGGAGGAAGTATAAATTTTTATAGTCATGGAAAATAGTATGGGAGCTCCTCACAACACTGAGAATAGAAATATCCAGCAGTCCTACTACCAAGTATACATTCAAAAGATAGGAAATCAGTTTATCAGAGAGATATCTGCACTGCCACATTTATTGTTGTACTAGCCACAGCAGTGAAGATACAGAAACAATCAAAGTACCTCCAAACTGCTGAATGGATGAAGAAATCACATGATGTTTGACTTACTTATGGATAAAGGCATTTTAAAATTCCCACCTCATTATAGCTTCTCCCTTTAAAAATTTTGTTCCCTTCTTGTGTAGGGATAGGGTATTTTAAATTATTTATTTTTTATTGTTCTGACAACTTTTGAATGTCTAATCATTGGCTAATATCAGTTTCTTGATTTTTTCTCTTTTTTAACTATAAAATCACACCTATTCTTGTTTAATATACTTTGTTTAATGCACTGATTAGATTTGCCTCAGTGTGCTTGGGAAACATATTTGAATAGTTAGTGGCTCTTGTTTATGATAAGAAGATCATATTAGTGTTTGAAAAAATAAAAACTGTGTTGTAATGCAAAGACTGCTG